TTTCTAATCTTGGATGTAAAATGAAGACTGCTTACACATTTCATGGAAAAATGAAGGATCAGCCTAAGGTTTGTAAACAGCTTCAGATCCTCCAAATCCCAAAGAGAGTGAGCGAAAATTGTTATGAGTTGCCACGTTATAACCTTCTTCTGCCCTGGGTGTTGGCAACCATCTGATAAAAGGCTTGTGACACACACTCACTAGCAGAATAATCTCTGAACCCTGCTACTACATAGGCAGCAATATTGAACAAGTAGTGCATGAGAAACACAATGATTCTGATTTTCCTTCAGCTGTTTTTATTTTTTAATTTCTCTGCTTCCAACAATGTCAGAGGGTCAGGCAAGCATCACACTGCCTACACAGAGATAATGACTATTATAGCCATAGATTGCTGCCTTTTTGGTTTTAAAATGTCAGAAAAAATCAGATGTCACTGGAACCTCTGACCTTAACTCTGAAACACTATAGCATCAACTAGCATTTCTCAGAAAAAAACCACTCAACTTCTTAAAGGAATCGCAAACATTTTTCAGTCATGTGGATTACAAAGTAGTACTTTGCTTCACATTTTCTGAATCAAGCGGCTTAGCACACACAAACTATAGTTCATAAACAGTTTAAGCTAGCAGAAACTGGCATTAACACTGAAAGAAGCAGTTTGACCTGCCTCATCTCCAGCCATTGACACTCTCTTGCACTAGTCTACATATTCATGTGGCTGAGCAGTGAATCAGACTGAGAAACCATGTTAAAAAATGCCTCATACCTGTAAAAGAATTAATTCTAGCCCTACTGGTTTAATGAGCTTAAGCTATTTGTCAAACTAAATAATAAGGAATCAAAACTGTGCTCATCGATTATATTTTAAAAAAAAGAAAAAAAGCAGACTTACCACAGATAGTGGAAAAAGCCCACCTTGCTACCAATATATGAAGTTTTGTATCTTGCTAATTCACAGAGCGCATACTGCAGATAATACTGTGTTACCTGCAAGAGCTAGAGGGTGTTTACTGATGGTTCTCTTACACCAACTGGTATTAGATTCATAACTTAGACCATCAAAGTTTTCTCTGCTCAGAGCATGGAGAGCCAGGTACTGCTCACCAAATGCCAGATTGTAATTTATATACCATGTGAGGGATTTAGCTTATCCGGCTCTAAGTACTGATGTCTTGGACAGTCACTTCATCAAATACTTGACCAAGCAACACAAGCACTTTGGGGGAACGAAGTGCTTTGATTAGGGACCTACATTCAGGTGACTACTTCAAGGTGAGTTGTATCTTGCTGTAAAAGTCCTTTTTTTCTCTCCATTAATGGAATCTCTATGATGTAGACATTGACTTACAAATGCCAGCAATTGTCAGGTGAAAATCTGCAGTTTGTCTCTCAGGCACCTGGCTTTCCTGTCACCTTAGGTACATATTTCCTTTAGTACCTCTCAAAAAAAGTTCCAGTGAAGCAACTTCTGGGGGGGAAGGAAGGAGACATGACATGACACATCATTGCCCTAAACCATTACTTTATTATTCTATCAAAATACTGTGAAAAGTGCAAGACATCTTTAAAAGCATATAAACAGAATACTTACTGTGATAAGTTTGACAAAGAACCCTTCATTGTATCTTTTAAACTGTCAGCCTAGTTGGTATCCATGGAAGTGTGCAGCTAACATCACTGCCTTATATTCAGAACTGAACAACTGTGTCCTGCCTAATTCTCTAATATGCTGCATATTATCCCTGAATAGTAGCATCCCTGCTATTTTTAACACTGGTCTTCTCTGCTGTATTTGCTAGTCTCAATAATTTTTAGAGTATTTTGTTCTTTAAATGTCTGGGTATATGAGCTCCTGGGCAGTGGAGATGTACACGTTCTTTGTGACCATCTGACTTACAAAAAATTAGAAGAGAAGTTGGATCATCAAAATGCAACAGGTCTGATTTATTGATATGTTACTCCTAAGTTAGGTATTACACCACTTGGACCATGGGAATTAAACAGATGCAGCCTGGTTGTGAGGTCAAAGGAATTAGACCTTTATAATTTGGACCCGTTCCCTTTACTATATTAAAAGTAACTTCAGCATACCCTTTTTAAAAAGTGTGGGAAAGTCTGTATCTTATTGAACAAGCAGTGAAAATCTGGGTATTGGAGAGACACAACAGACTTATGTAGACTGCATGCCTGGAGCAAGACATAGCAATATTTGAATTTGCATGAAAAAGAGCACCAAAAGCAGCACTTTGAAGGTAGTAAAGTGTTCTATTCTCCTGAATGACATTTGCAAACACTCAATTTCAACATTTACTCCTAATTTAAAGCACTGTCCAATTAAAAACCAGCTCATTAATTTCTTATGAAACTCTGTGCCTCCAGCAGGTTTCTAGTCTAGCTGCTGCCCTAAGCAACAGCAGTACTTTCTGCATTACGCTGCTGTTACTACGGTATTACAAAACTGATTGATACAACACATAGACTGTACTGACAATGATTCGTGGAACTGCTTTTAATCATAGTAGTACTTCCCGATTTTCAACCAAAAGGGAAAAGTAGACTTCAAAAAGAAAGAAAACCCCAAACTTTCTCTGTCTTTCTTCCCACACACTGCTAGACAAACAACACTATTACTGCAACTTCACTTCAAAAATATTTACATAGTACTAGTGGGAAGGCAGTTAAGCAATGATACGAGTACATGCCTGAACATTTAGCAGAGGTAAAAAAAATAATAAAGTTGGCAAGTTTCTTTTTAATGAATTCTCCCATCTAGTCCAAGTAGAACAAGCAACAAATCAGAACAAATATTTGTGCTTTTTCAGAAATGGAAAATAGCAAACTTATTTTCTAAGGAGAGGAAATAGCTAGTGGGAATACAATAATGTTCAATTAGTAAGGAAGTGGAGCCCACCTTCAAATTTCCATTTCAGTACGCAGGAGTAGGATCATTTAATGAAATACAGAATAATGAAATAAAGAATTTTTATGGTGGCGTGCATATCATTCTTCGGTAGATGAATGTGACAGTGCTAAAGATACCTTTAATATAGTAGATTTTGCTTTAATCAAAATTGCATAGAGAACTTGAAATGAGCATCTGATTAGGAGAAAGAGAACTGCTGAGCTATTGGCTTAATATACAACTCCTGCTAATACCTATTGGCTTAGGGGTTGGAGGAATGGATGGTGGCATATGTGATGTCGGCTTCTGAAGCAGTTTGTGGAAGAGATTCTAGTAGGACCATTATCCATGGCAGAAAATTACCAGAAAGTATGCTTAAGAACAGAATAAACACAAGGATAGTAACACAGATTAATTGAGAAGAATAATTAGGGCTTTTGGAGGCCAAGTTCTTTGAATAGTCATGCAGATATGGGTGATTTGACTGATAGAATATACTTCAATTTCAAAAAGCTTCTGGTGAAGTTAACTATCAGACTCAAAGTACACCAACAAGGAGGAACAATGAAAAAAATGCCAAGAAATAAAAATGGATTTTCATTGCTAACTAAAAATGAAAAAAAATGTTTAGGAATAATTGAATTGTTTTGTTTTACATTGGATGGATGTTACCTGATAGTTTCACCTGATAGTCTCACAGATATATGTTCAGTATACTCAAAAATGAACTGGAAAATGGAGGAATAAAAAGAGACAGAGGTTTCTGATGATATTAAATTACAGAGGTTAATAAGAATGAAAACTGACTGCCAATTGCTGCAAAAGGACCTTATGACGTTGAATGATTGTGAGATAAACAAGAAAATATAAATCAATAATCCGTGCAATCCCACACTGAAAAAAACCCAAAACCCCCAAACAAACCAGCCTCAGGTATTCACTACTTCCTACAGGATTCCTAAGATTCAGTTTTTGCTGGTACAAGAATTACAGCCAAAACAATACTTCAGTAGCAAATTTGCCCTAAGAAAAGGGTTTTGTATCATATACTCCACAACTGAACTTTGGAAGTAATTTCTACAAGACATTTTGAATATCAGAAGAACAAATGAATACAAAAGACATAACTAGAGGTAAAAAAAGACTGTTAGGGCCTATTGATTACAAAACTGCAAGATGGTGTCTGGCTTCAATGCACCTCCGTGATAAATACCTCAAAGAAAGCTGAGATGGCTTACTATCTGCTTCCCCTGTTCTTACACTTCTTTTTTGAATATCCAATGCTGACCACTGCCAAAAAAGGATACAGGGCTATATGTACTTTTGGTTCAGTCCAGTGCAGCCATTCTTTATGTTGTGTGATGATCATGGACACTGCTAGCACACAAGTCATTTAAAACTTGAGAGGCGGAAACCATCTTCATTTTGGAACAAAGACACTGATCCTAAAGTAGCCTACATTTAGCTACTGTTGGGAAAGTAAATCAAATCCTTTTGAGAAAACACTCTAATGGATTTTAACAGACTTTGACTGCAGGCTACAGCATTACCTCTGAAAAAAAAACCACCCAAATAAATATTGCTATTATTGGTTCAAAATTGGATTTAACTAAACTACCAGAGCTGAACACTTAGGCTTGTAGACAATGTGATGTGGAATTCACCATGAATTAGGCATAATCAACAGCCAAACTAAAAAAGCCAAAGAGACTATTTCTAAAATAAGCAATGAAGAAAAAACTGTGGTAGTGGCTCTGATGTCTGGAATCCATCACATCCATCTTCCAAATGAGATGAATTACTCTTCTTTCTACTGACTACAAAGGTGATCCAAGTGATTAGTTCAAATGTAGTAGTTTCCATTAGTGGTCTAAAATCATATTAGATGAATCCCACAGCCCTGGTGTCCCATTAACTCGAATCTGACTAAACTTTTATCTGTACCTGTTTTGCAAACCAAACTCCTCTGTGTAGTGCAATATTTACAGAATAAATTACTTGTAAGAAATGCACACTTTTAATGAAAAATAGTAACTTTTGAGGTTACTGAACCTAAAAGTCAGAAAATGTTATAAATAATGCTGTATCTACTTACATCAGTTTTAGGTCGTGCTCCAGTTGACACTGGGTAAGGTAAACAGTCTAGATCCTGGTAGTCTCCTCTTTTATTTTTCCAAGATCCCTTTTCTTGATGATCTCCATAAAAGCCTGTCTCTACTTGAACAGGGCACTGTAAGAGAATTTTAAAAACCCTATAAATAAAAGCAAGTCATAAATGTTTTTAATGTAAACTCTAAGATAAGAAGTTGGAATTTTATCTTTTTAAAGCTTTTTTTTCTCTGATGTAAGGTAAGCATTTGGCCTCAATCTTTTTTCTTAAAACCACCTGCTGCATCATTTTTATATTTTGCTAAGTTAGACTTCCAGATATTATATGAAGTCCTTTCCTTAATGGCTAGTATACGTAACCGGAGAACTAATCAACAGTAGTACACCTTCCTAAACATCAGGGAACGGAATCACTTCCTAGGAAGAGAAATAGTTTTACACAGATTATTTAAAACTATCTTTTTATGTCATGTTTATTTTTCTACCTTAAACAGAGACCCAGCAAATTCCCATTTTCAAATTGCAAACTCTGAAGTTTCCAAATCCACTTTTCCTTATCACCCCAAACTTGGAGAGATCTCATTTGTCTGCTCCACTTCCACACCATTTTTTAAAAGATGTATGTCCTAACTCTGGGCCTTACACTGAATGCAATGGGAGGAAGAGACCAACTGCACAACATTCCCCCATGTATCCTGGTTTGCCCAAAAGGAATAACTGGGTGGGTGAGCAAGAAACAATATATGCTGAAATCCAGCAGAATCCATAATAGGAACAATCAGGTGGGCTCACTGCAGAGCAGTCCAGAGCTGTTGAGTACAATCATTCAAATCAGCCCATTTTCTACATGTACCCCTTCATAAGCGGACAAATTTGCTGCTGGTCTTCAACATCAACTGCCTACTTCCCAGTTAGTATATTTCTTAGGAAAGTAAAATGTGAAAGCTTTGAAAAGGTAACAGAAGAATCAGTATGCGGCCCAAAAAAAGTTTAGAGATAATATACTACTGCAAAAAATTAGGAGAATGTGTAAGTTAAAGAAAAGATTTTGTTCAATTAAAGTCATATATCTAATATAAGATGGGGTAATTATAATCAAACAGGACTTCTCTGTCATTATCCATAAATGATAAAGGGTTAAAACTGAAAATAAATTACTATTCTCATTCTCTAGATCTGCTTTTTCTGTATTGAAACTGAATACAACATATCAAGTGGCAATGAAACAGATACATTAAACAACAGGGAAACACACTAAGTGCAGCAAGAGTGATGTATCTCTAATGTTTCATTTACAAAGGGCCTCCTTCTATATTGCTAAGATTTTTTTTTTTTTCATAGCAAAGGTACAGGTTTTAGAAGAGTAGTACTATTAAATGTGTTTTTCCAGAACTAGTAGTTTTGCTGTTAGTACATTGAGACAGTCCTGGGTTTTGCACTTTTATCATGTATTTATTGCACTAGTGAGAGAATGCTTCAGAAAATTATTTGGTTACAGATGATTATTGTTAACATCTTTTTTAAGGTCCAGATACTGAGGAATCCAGCCAGTGCTACTGATCCATACCATTTCCCAACAAAAAACTAACCAGTGGTAGCTCGTGGTTTACAAAGATGTAAAGACAGGCCACCCCTTAACATTAATCTAAAAGTTATTATGTTTTAGAAAACACCTTAAATTTGTTCACCAAAATACTGCAAGACTCCGCACTCTCACCCAATAAGTCCCATAATATTTATTAATCCAGTCACGTTTCATTAGAAAATATTAAGGCTTCTTCTGTAAAATTTTTGTTCAAATGAGTATTACTAATAACAGGTACCATAACAACAGAATAATGTAAAGAATAATAAAATATCAAAGAGTTACTTCTGTAAACAGATGAAAAATCCTTCAGTAGAAAACTAGCTGGCTCAACCTAGTGATTAAATTTCAAAATGTATTTCTGAGATATAGCATTTGTCATGAGAAATAAAAACTCTGTCATCTGTTAAAAATTGTCCACACCCTCAAGGGACCAATTTTCAGAGCAGCAGCTCCAACAAACCATGTTGCTATTTATACAGTAGTCACCTGCTTTGGAGATCTTGAGTCTACAAATTTGGCTTTACATCTCTGAACACCAAAAAGATTTCAATCATAATTTCTTGCATCGGTACCCAGTTTATATAATAAAAATAGGATAAAATCATATGAAGAACCCATAAGTGTTTTGCCATTTTACAGAACCCAAATTTACTTAGCTACTAGTAAACATATGTTTGAGATAGCCCTTTTTTCTATTCAATTTCATTTTAAGTGACAAGACTAAAATATTTGATACGTGTGGAACAAATTACAAGCTATAGCAAGAAATATGGACCAAATAGCAAGAACTGATAGAAGATAAATTACTCATACAACTTATATGAATACAAGACTCTTATTTTTTCCACCGCAACTGTCATTTTGAGATCTACAATATCTGTTTCCTCACAGTAAGTTTATGGAGAGTTTTATGAGGATCTATTTCTCTTCTTTGACTATAAGTAAGACTAAGTCCACCCATTTTGAGGCAAATTTTACTTTCAGGCACAAAAGCAGACTACACTGCTACTGTATTTTGACGGAAGACATTGAGCATTCTCCTGCAAGAAGACAGAACATGGTCTATTAATAGGCAAATTAATTATGAAATTAATTCAGTTGGATAGAGCTGGTTGTGACTTGTTGACACATACAATAAGAAAGAAATGAGAGACAGCCATGGCCACTCTGTAGAATATGAAAACACATATTGTAAAGTGCAACACCAAAATGCAAGATTTTGAACATCCCAGCTTGAGAGACATGAACATTTACATTGTGATGATCCACACAGACACTTACTTTCAGACTTTGCTTTTACAAAATGAAGCAGCATTGAAACAGCAGTGACAGAAAAAACATTCAGAGAAACTCACCTTTCAGGAATTTCAAGCCAACACTAACATTCAGAGCTGCAAATCCAAACAACTCTATCTTAAGAACTGACTTTAATCATAGCCTGAAGCAGAGAACAAACACTTCCACTTCTCATGCTGTTCACCCTTCAGTTACTTCCTCCTATAAAAACCCTTGCTTATTCAAAAACTACTAAAATAATATCACAATATCCTTAGTCCTATTTGCCCTCCAAATAAAACCTTAAGAAACTGTCATCAACTGATGACACCTGTCATCACAAAATATTCTTAAATAGAGGAATGAAGGTCTAAACCAAATATTCAGATAAAATAAAGAAAAATACTAATTCAATTCTTAATGAAGATACAGTGTCTCTCTTGCTGTTATATCTTTAAATAAATACAAAAATAGTAAGTATTAATAGGTTAGCACTGGGACTTCAACAGTATTCTGAAAAAACTATCACATGCAAATACCCCACATAAAAAAAAAAACAAACAACCACAAAACAAAACAAAAAGATGTTTATGGATTTTAAGCCATGTTGACAGAAATTTCACCCTTTTTAGAAGTTTTGCCCTATCACATTTCTGATCATTTGGCCATGAGCTGCCTAATGAAATTAGAGATTTCATTATTATTGACTGAAAACAGTAACACCCTTGAGGCTGAGCTCCTCAGCCTATTCACAAACACAACTAAAACTTAAAACTATGGCATGAGGAGCGTTACAGCTAGACGTTAAAGAACATATACGACACACACACATTCTTACCAGTTGCTTGTGCCTTTTAGAAGGAGTACTAGAGGGAGAAGAGCTGCCACTCAGAGCTTCTTCAATATCTAAGTTCAACTGTTCCAGTTTCTTCATAAGCCATGACATAGAATCTGTCCATTCAGATTCTTTTTCTGGTTGGGTCTAAAAGAAATCAAACATGTGAAGCTTTGAAACATTCAAGCTGTTTATAACTTGAAGGCTCTCCCATTCTCTTCCAGCCCACAGGGAAAAAGATAACCAGTTCTTTTCCTGTCCTTAAGTAACTTTTTGCCATTAAGAAAGCTTCTATTATCACTTCAATCTCCATGACACACATTCATAGCTGTCCTTCATACTCAAATGATCACACCCCACTTCTGTGTATCTGAATGACTTTGTAACACTTCATCTTGGGTGACCCACTGCCAGCTCAAGTTAAGCACAATCAAGATCAAAACTAAAGTAACTTTAACATCTCTTCCTTAAGCCACTTCTGTTTTAGCATCTCTCTGCTAATTGCTTCTTGTCAATAAGAATCAGAACATTGAGGGTCATCATGTGTACTATATTATATTCCTTACTATATTCCAGACTTGTCAAATCTTGCAGCTTTCTCCCGCCCCCATGGTGGTAAGGCTTTACTTGTCACTTTTTCACTTGGATGTGTCTTCCCCTTTTATCTGAACTGCTTCACTGTATTACAAAAACTTTAAGCTGTTCAAGTGTAACTGACAAAAGTGCTTCTCTTATTCCTCAAAGTACTTTCCAGTGACTCTCCTTAAGCATCTTTCCATGGCAGTCCACTGCTTCATTATGCCTTGTTTTCCTTATTTACATCACTTCTTAAGATCCACTAGAAAAAAACAGTAACACTGACCTCCCTGTCATCACAGGCAACTACTGCTTCTCAGATTAGTCTCTGTCCTGAAGATATTTCATTTCTGTCATCTTCCTTACTTTCACAAACAATACCTATCTTTGCACAGAGGATAATTCCATAGCGAGCATGAGCACACAAACAGTAAAAATGTGTTTGCATCCTGCCAAAATCCTAAAAGCATCATACCAACACTCCTCAAAACCTAGGGGAGTTATATTATTATTCTTCTCTGATAAATCTTCATGGTGATTTGTTTCCTTATAAGGGTTCCGTGAGTGGGACAGAAAGACACTTTCAATTTGTTCACTATTATACAAAAAAAGCTTTACAAATGGAATCCAGGAGGTTCACTCCAGTATTACAGTGCCATATATTATTACTGATGGAATTGCTTGTCTTCAGCACAGTAACTAAGAGTAAGGCCCCAGATCACCAGACACTGAGTCCCGTATTACAAACAGGTGCATGTTCCCTTCAGAGGGGCTAGAATTATTTTAGTAGGGATTGTTTAAAAGCACAGAAAATTAAATATCAAATGACTCAACAAGGACCAAACATGAAATTCCACCAACAATGAATGTATGAAGTCTGTGAAAATCTAATATGAATGTTTCATTTCTCACCACAGTTAAACAAAAAAGGAGCTGTAAGAATGTGCTTTCTTACTTATCAGTAGTAAACAATTCTGAAGCAACAAGCACACAGAGAAATGAGTAAAGTGTATTTGATTTCTGTGAGCTAGTAAAAAATAGTACTTGCCAGGTGACAAACATTGAAGGTTACATTAGAAGTTTGGATTTTTGAGTTCAATAAGATATAGAAGCAACTTCCTCACATGCAAACAGTCCACTTTCTGTTCCACAACAAAAGAGTATTTGGGGGGGATACTGGAGAGGTGTCTCTAGTTTAGCACTTTCCACAGAAAATATAAAGATGAAAATTCATGAAGACTTTTAAGACAGAATTCAAAATATTTCCAAGACACTTCAAATGCATGTAACAGTACACACGATATTGCATTACAATAAAAAATATAGCTCCATGCATAGGGAAGCACACTTTACTTTTATCTTGACAAATATTTACAATACACCCAGCATTCACTAATATTCTTCCAAAAATCTGTATGAGCCAAATCCCCTTATTTTTAGAAATTTCTTATTTTAATGCAACAGAACTCAAACCACAGTAATTTCTTAAAAATACAAGTCCTAAGCAGTTTCCTCAAACTATAAATCTCCTAGCATTCTCCATTCAGTTCGGCCTTTTTTTTTTTTTTTTAGTTGAGTAAGACTCTATATTGTGTCTATTAAGGGGATGAGGAAAAAGATGGGGTTTTATTATCCTTGAAGATAAAGCCAAATGGGCCTAGTTAACAAATGCCATTCACTAATTGGAAATTTGGCACAAAAGCACCATTTGGAACAAATGCTGATTGGCTACGTATTTCAAAGGTTGCCTGAAATTCCTGCTAAACAGCAAAAACATGATGCTACTTACATTCAAAAATATACAGCCTGCACAGTAGGACATCAGACCAGTGAATAAATTCTGCCTAATCCATTCATGAGGGACACAGCTCCCCAGTGTTCAGCCCCAGTAACTAGGTTGGACACTATCAAAGTGTTCAGAAGATCTGAGTATTAGTGTTTCCTGCCCATAGCAACTGCAGAGGCAGTAGGTCAGGGCATCTTTGGAAGCTTTTGTGTCTTGCCCTTCAGAAGGAAAAAATCTCACTCTAAATTATCTAAGAATCATGGCCTGCTTTATTCATTGTTTTTTTCCCCTAAAAGGTTTACAGGGAGAACACTCCTTTCCATATATTCTCAAGGTCTCCTTTCTTTGTTGGAGCCATATCCATTCAGCAACATATAGGAATGCTGTTACCTTTTGAAGAACCTGAGAAGCATAGAGCAGTGCAGAAATACTTTTTATTAATTAATACTTTATTAATGCTACATTAGAATCACAGAATCATTCAGTTTGGAAAAGACCATTAAGATGACTGTCCAACCTTTAAGATCAAGTCCCACCGTTAATGGACTGCCAAATTCAGCACTGCCAAATCCACCACTAAACCAAGTCCCTCAGTGCCACATCTTAAACACCTCCAGGGATGGCAACTTCACCACTTCCCTGGGCAGCCTCTTCTACTGCTTGATGACCCTTTTGATGAAGAAATTTTTCCTAATATCCAATCTAAAACTCCCATGGTGCAATTTGAGACCATTTTCTCCGTTCTATGAGACGGATGAGCAGTAGTAGAAAGTGAGCCTGGAGAATCTTTCAATAAACAAATGTTTCAAGGTGGAGCAACATTGTCTACTCAGGCTAGATTACAAAAAAAAGACCAAACCAAACAAAGAAAACCCCCCAGTAACATAATTGTCAGTGGGAAATATAAAATTAAATTATATACAATTCCTTAAAACAGTTACACAAGCAGTTATTGTGCTTCAGATAGCTACTGTATAAAAGAACTATCTTAACCATTTAAGATTTACTAAAACACGTTTAGCAATCAGCCAGACATAAAACTTAATTGTAGGTTGCTACGTCCTACAGCAACCACAGTCTATTTCAGAATGGCAAGCTTAAGGATTTTGTTATGTGTACACATTCATATGTATACCTATTCTGTATTCACTTGCATAGCTGAAATTTCATTACCATCAATAACAAATTAGAGATAAAACAGAGTGCAAGACTTGCTCAACCACTCAAATACTTAATTGCTCTTTTCTTACATGGAGAAAAAAGTACATTCCAGTCATTCGAATGTTTGTGCCTTTTGCACCAAAGGCTTCTGCACCCTGTTTTTCAGTTTTCAAGTGTTCTTCACTAATCTTATTCAGCAAAAACATCTGTGATAAAAGGCATATTTGTTCCAATGTTTTGCTCATGAAGCTGATTGCAATAGGCATAACAGCTGCCAGCAAATCTAAATTTAAACTGAAAGAATGCGGCAGCATTGAACAAGTCCATATAGAACGCTCAAGGGTCACACTGCCAGACCTCATCCTATACCGGAAGCAGAAAGGCTTCCCACGTGAAGGGCTATGAGAAAATTACACAACTCTAAATTTATCTGATAATTTGTGGCTTTCACTTCTTAACCTTCAATAGGTCCAATTGTTCTGATAATTAATGTATTGTACAACTTTGAGTGATAGATCAGTAAGCTCCGAATAAAAAATATCAACGCTATTTAAACCTCCTCTCTATTAAATCTGCTCAGATAAAAATTCTCTCTGATGTACAGCCTAGATTGGCAAATAATGATTATGTGGAACAATTTCAGAGACCAAATATCATATTCTGCTCTTGCTGCACTGATGGGGCTCCTCTGTTCTCAAAAGAACTTCTGTGTAAAAGGTCTCTCAGCCACTGGGGGCTTTGCCTACAGGGACTGGAGGAGGAAGCCAGATTGATTCCCTGTACAAAATCCTTAAAAAAAAAAAAAAAAAAAAGTAGTTAGAATACAAAGGACGCTTTTATTCTCAAAATAGATTTATGTGTGCCTTCTGTATTGAAGATTAAATATTTCAAAGGGAATTTTCCTTCATATCTCACTCTAATGTTGCTGAAATACTTACAGAACTGTTAGATGGACAACTAATTTGTGGCACCTTCATCCTGGAAAGCAGGTAAGTAAAACTCAGCAGTCAACAACCTTTCCGCTTCTAAGAATTGTATTGCTATATTTCTGAAATTATCAAGAAAGTCTCTTCAATCTCTCAAGTCAGCAGGCAAAGCCAAGCACACAGCTAGGTTGCTGGGAAAATGAAAGCTCTTCAGGGACATCACATAAAATTCAGAGAAATCTGGAACCTTCTGATCCCCAAAAAGTTCACCTAAGATGGGCTATCAGGACCCTGGCAGTTTTCCAAAAGAAAAGCTACAGAAATACTAATATAAAGTTATGTGTTAATCAGTTCTAAAGGAAAGACCATTTTCAAAATGAATCCTTTCCCCCCAGACCTATTAAATTTACCCTTCTTACATACATCTGTGTATGGAGCTGTTTTTACTTCCTGTTCAGTTACTTTCTCCTTCATGCTTTCCTGCCTGAGGGCATGCTGCCTTGAGCTACTGATTTCTTCAGACAGGTTTTCAGAAGTGACACAAACCATACCTGTATGAATGTGATGATACCTTTTAAGTGTTTGATGCTCTAGGGCAAATTAAAATAATTTTTGCACTTAAGGTTATTTCTGGATTTTCCTAACTTCCCTTTACACACCTGCCTTCGCTTCCTTTCACTAAGCTCAACTGTGCATTT